CAGTGGAGTTCTCAATGTTTATGCAGCCTTATCCTATAAATTTGGGATGTCCCCAAGGACTACATTGGTTGAACATCATTCTCTGCTTGAAAAGCGTGAGAGACTCTTCTATTAATATGTTCTGCTTAGGAGTGTCCCATACACCTACTCAGATTTTACAGAGGGGATCAATGAGCGAGGGCAGCTTTAACAGCCTGATGCATGCTGGATGATCTCGGGGAATAAAGTTGGTGCTATCTTTGTAAAGCAGAAATCATAACTGTTGTAGATATGCCTCTTCACCGAGAACAGATGAAAAGGAGTGGAGAGGGGTAACAAGTATAACATAGGTTAACCAGGACAAAGGAAATAGAGGTTTATTTACTGATTGCTGTTAGACAATGCAGGACCACCCAATAGTCTTATTGCCTACTGGTCTGTGGGGACTCCATGTGCTCTGGAACTTGTTCCCAGGTTATACTCCATGCAGTATTAGGTACAGAGTAGCTTATAGCTTAGTCTGAGAAACAATGTGTGACAACAAATCAATTGAAAAAACAGCATCGGGCTAAATTTTTTAGTACTATCAGGTTTTGAGTGAGAGCTACTCCCAGGTTTTCTTACTAGGGAAGGCTCTGATTCAGATTCTCTGAGCAGTGAATTTTGTATTTGAGCTCAGATTAGCAGCAAGAAGTGTAAAATCACATGTAGGGAGAGGGGTCCCTTTTGACTACTCCTCTAAGGAGGCTTTGTTTATTCCACCATGTGCACTGAATGGCTTGCACTCATGACATTCATTTCTGAGCTCTTCATTTGAGAATGTACATCATCAAAAACACGGCTGGAGGGTTAAGATGTGTCACTTTTGGTAACCGCTCATTGGGAGCTATTTGAGAACAGGGGCAGAAGGCTTGCAGAATCTGACTGCATATGCTATTGATAGGATGGCAGAATTTTGAGGAGTAGATACACCCCCTTAAAGTCATAGATGAATCAGCTTTTGGGAAATTATTTATTAATATAAATCATATTTATTGTTTTTTATTGGTGTCCAGTGTGATTACTCGTGTACTTAAAGTTAAGCATATGCCTAAAATTTTGAAGGAGAGGGGCTTAAGCAGGCAACAACAACAACAAAAAAGATGCAGGTAGGGGAAAGGCAACAACATTGGAAAGGAAGCAAAAACAAAGGAAACCAAACCATTTATATGACTCAGATTCTGGGGGAAAAAATCTTGGACTCTGTTTTCTCATGGTGGAATTTCTTCATGGGAGGAAGGATTTGAGTGATGAAATGGTAGTTGTCTGATATATCTAGTCATGAAGAATACTGCAGGCAATGTGGGAAAAGCCCAGAGATCACCGTGGGAGAAGTGGATGAATGGGGAATTGTTTGGTCTTAGTGGTGGAGCTAAGTGTTGCTGCTGCAATGCAAGAAGAAACAAAGATAATTAAATGGAGGGGGTTGAGTTACGTAGAACCTTGAAAGTGAAGGGTGCTATGTTTATGGCATACACACAGAGAAGTTAGATGAAAATATAAATATTCTTGCTGTAAGGTTGCGATGTAACACTACTTTTAAGTTTAGAATTTAGAATAACACACAAGAGCCCCAAACCAGAGAGAGAGAGAAAGCAGGCTGCTCCTAAAACAGACAGGCATAACTCACCCCAACTTACTCTAAGCTATGTGTCTGCAGACTGCCTGCTATTGGGTCCAGACCACATGCGTCTGTACAGAGCCTGTAAGCAGGACCAGGAACCCCCCCTGAGAAATTAAAGTGATTTAATTTTAGCACAATTTTCAATACATCACAAAGGGGAGGGAGGAATTTAAATATGATGCAATGGAGAAGAGAGCCAATTGAGGGAGTCACAAAATGGAGAGGAAGATTGCCTTGGCAGTTGTATCTTGTATGGACTGAGAGAATTCAGTGGTGTAGTCAGGGAGATCAGAAATTGTAATAATCAAAATAGATGATCAGAGCATGGAATGAGGGTTTTTGGAGTAGAACAGAAAAGAAAGTCTGATCTTAGAAAAGCTGCGGCAGAAGAAATGACAGGATTTGGACCCTGTTTGAAAGCTAAAGTTTTATGTGATTCTGTAGCTATTTACACATTATGTGCACTGGGGTATATTTTACACAACAGCTGTATCCTTTGGAGTCTTCAGCAACAGAAAGCTGTTCTTTTTACCACCTGATGTATTGACCTGCTTTTCACTATGGATAGCAGAGACCAATGTTTCTGTCCCTCTTTTTTTGCCCCTGAATTACTTTTCAATATCAAACCTCAGCACATGTCCCTTACTCCTTTTAGGGTATGTCTACACTACGGAATAAGGTCGAATTTATAGAAGTCGGTTTTTTATATTCGAGTGTGTGTGTCCCCACAGAAAATGCTCTAAGTGCATTAAGTGCATTAACTCGGCGGAGCGCTTCCACAGTACCGAGGCTAGAGTCGACTTCTGGAGTGTTGCACTGTGGGTAGCTATCCCACAGTTCCCGCAGTCTCCGCTGCCCATTGGAATTCTGGGTTGAGATCCCAATGCCTGATGGGGCTAAAACATTCTCGCGGATGGTTCTGGGTACATATCGTCAGGCCCCCGTTCCCTCCCTCCCTCCGTGAAAGCAAGGGCAGACAATCGTTTCGCGTCTTTTTTCCTGAGTTACCTGTGCAGACGCCATACCACGGCAAGCATGGAGCCCGCTCAGGTAACCGTCACCCTATGTCTCCTGGGTGCTGGCAGACGCGGTACGGCATTGCTACACAGTAGCAGCAACCCCTTGCCTTGTGGCAGCAGACGGTACAGTACGACTGGTAGCCGTCATCGTCATGTCCGAGGTGCTCCTGGCCACGTCGGCTGGGAGCGCCTGGGCAGACATGGGCGCAGGGACTAAATTTGGAGTGACTTGACCAGGTCATTCTCTTTAGTCCTGCAGTCAGTCCTATTGAACCGTCTTATGGTGAGCGGGCAGGCGATACGGACTGCTAGCAGTCGTACTGTACCATCTTCAGCCAGGCAGGCAAGAGATGAGGATTGCTAGTAGTCGTATTGTACCATCTTCTGCCAGGCAGGCAAGAAATGAAGATGGCTAGCAGTCATACTGTACCATCTTCTGCCGAGCAGCCATGAGATGTGGATGGCATGCAGTCCTTCTGCACCGTCTGCTGCCAGCCAAAGATGTAAAAGATAGATGGAGTGGGTCAAAACAAGAAATAGACCAGATTTGTTTTGTACTCATTTGCCTCCTCCCCTGTCGAGGGGAATCATTCCTCTAGGTCACACTGCAGTCACTCACAGAGAAGGTGCAGCGAGGTAAATCTAGCCATGTATCAATCAGAGGCCAGGCTAACCTCCTTGTTCCAATAAGAACGATAACTTAGGTGCACCATTTCTTATTGGAACCCTCCGTGAAGTCCTGCCTGAAATACTCCTTGATGTAAAGACACCCCCTTTGTTGATTTTAGCTCCCTGAAGCCAACCCTGTAAGCCGTGTCGTCAGTTGCCCCTCCTTCCGTCCGAGCAACGTCAGACAATCGTTCCGTGCCTTTTTTCTGTGCGGACGCCATACCAAGGCAAGCATGGAGGCCGCTCAGCTCACTTTGGCAATTAGGAGCACATTAAACACCACACGCATTATCCAGCAGTATATGCAGCACCAGAACCTGGCAAAGCGATACCGGGCGAGGAGGGGACGTCAGCGCGGTCACGTGAGTGATCAGGACATGGACACAGATTTCTCTGAAAGCATGGGCCCTGCCAAAGCATGCATCATGGTGCGAATGGGGCAGGTTCATGCTGTGGAACGCCGATTCTGGGCTCGGGAAACAAGCACAGACTGGTGGGACCGCATAGTGTTGCAGGTCTGGGACGATTCCCAGTGGCTGCGAAACTTTCGCATGCGTAAGGGCACTTTCATGAAACTTTGTGACTTGCTTTCCCCTGCCCTGAGGCGCATGAATACCAAGATGAGAGCAGCCCTCACAGTTGAGAAGCGAGTGGCGATAGCCCTGTGGAAGCTTGCAATGCCAGACAGCTACCGGTCAGTTGGGAATCAATTTGGAGTGGGCAAATCTACTGTGGGGGCTGCTGTGATGCAAGTAGCCCACGCAATCAAAGATCTGCTGATATCAAGGGTAGTGACCCTGGGAAATGTGCAGGTCATAGTGGATGGCTTTGCTGCAATGGGATTCCCTAACTGTGGTGGGGCTATAGACGGAACCCATATCCCTATCTTGGCACCGGAGCACCAAGCCGCCGAGTACATAAACCGCAAGGGGTACTTTTTGATAGTGCTGCAAGCTCTGGTGGATCACAAGGGACGTTTCACCAACATCAACGTGGGATGGCCGGGAAAGGTGCATGATGCTCGCATCTTCAGGAACTCTGGTCTGTTTCAAAAGCTGCAGGAAGGGACTTTATTCCCAGACCAGAAAATAACTGTTGGGGATGTTGAAATGCCTATATGTATCCTTGGGGACCCAGCCTACCCCTTAATGCCATGGCTCATGAAGCCGTACACAGGCAGCCTGGACAATAGTCAGGAGCTGTTCAACTACAGGCTGAGCAAGTGCAGAATGGTGGTAGAATGTGCATTTGGACGTTTAAAGGCGCGCTGGCGCAGTTTACTGACTCGCTTAGACCTCAGCGAAACCAATATTCCCACTGTTATTACTGCTTGCTGTGTGCTCCACAATATCTGTGAGAGTAAGGGGGAGACGTTTATGGCGGGGTGGGAGGTTGAGGCAAATCGCCTGGCTGCTGGTTTCGCGCAGCCAGACACCAGGGCGGTTAGAAGAGCACAGGAGGGCGCGGTACGCATCAGAGAAGCTTTGAAAACCAGTTTCATGACTGGCCAGGCTATGGTGTGAAAGTTCTGTTTGTTTCTCCTTGATGAAACCCCCGCCCCTTGGTTCACTCTACTTCCCTGTAAGCTAACCACCCGCCCCTCCTCCCTTCAATCACCGCTTGCAGAGGCAATAAAGTCATTGTTGCTTCACATTCATGCATTCTTTATTCATTCATCACACAAATAGGGGGATGACTACCAAGGTAGCCCAGGAGGGGTGGTGGAGGAGGGAAGGAAAATGCCACACAGCACTTTAAGCACAGCACTTTAAAAGTTTACAACTTTAAAATTTATTGAATGACAGCCTTCTTTTTTTTGGGCAATCCTCTGTGGTGGAGTGGCTGGTTGGCGGAGGCCCCCCCACCGCGTTCTTGGGCGTCTGGGTGTGGAGGCTATGGAACTTGGGGAGGAGGGCGGTTGGTTACAGAGGGGCTGCAGTGGCAGTCTGTGCTCCAGCTGCCTTTGCTGCAGCTCAACCATACACTGGAGCATACTGGTTTGGTCCTGCAGCAGCCTCAGCATTGAATCCTGCCTCCTCTCATCACGCTGCCGCCACATTTGAGCTTCAGCCCTCTCTTCAGCCCGCCACTTACTCTCTTCAGCCCGCCACCTCTCCTCCCGGTCATTTTGTGCTTTCCTGCACTCTGACATTATTTGCCTCCACGCATTCATCTGTGCTCTGTCAGTGTGGGAGGACAGCATGAGCTCGGAGAACATTTCATCGCGAGTGCGTTTTTTTTTCTTTCTAAGCTTCACTAGCCTCTGGGAAGGAGAAGATCCTGTGATCATTGAAACACATGCAGCTGGTGGAGAAAAAAAAAGGGACAGCGGTATTTAAAAAGACACATTTTATAAAACAGTGGCTACACTCTTTCAGGGTAAACCTTGCTGTTAACATTACATACATAGCACATGTGCTTTCGTTACAAGGTCGCATTTTGCCTCCTCCCACCGCGTGACTACCCCCTCAACCTTCCCCACTCCCTGTGGCTAACAGCGGGGAACATTTCTGTTTAGCCACAGGCAAACAGCCCAGCAGGAATGGGCTCCTCTGAGTGTCCCCTGAAGAAAAGCACTCTATTTCAACCAGGTCACCATGAATTATATCTCACTCTCCTGAGGATAACACAGAGAGATAAAGAACGGAAGTTGTTTGAATGCCAGCAAACATACACTGCAATGCTTTGTTCTACAATGATTCCCGAGTACGTGTTACTGGCCTGGAGTGGTAAAGTGTCCTACCATGAAGGACGCAATAAGGCTGCCCTCCCCAGAAACCTTTTGCAAAGGCTTTAGGACTACATCTAGGAGAACCGCAAATGCCAGGGCAAAGTAATCCTTTCACATGCTTGCTTTTAAACCATGTATAGTATTTTAAAAGGTACACTCACCAGAGGTCCCTTCTCCGCCTGCTGGGTCCAGGAGGCAGCCTTGGGTGGGTTCGGGGGGTACTGGCTCCAGGTCTAGGGTGAGAAACAGTTCCTGGCTGTCGGGAAAACCGGTTTCTCCGCTTGCTTGCTGTGAGCTATCTATAACCTCCTCCTCATCATCATCTTCTTTGTCCCCAAAACCTGCTTCCGTATTGCCTCCATCTCCATTGAAGGAGTCAAACAACACGGCTGGGGTAGTGGTGGCTGAACTCCCTAAAATGGCATGCAGCTCATCATAGAAGCGGCATGTTTGGGGCTCTGACCCAGAGCGGCCGTTCGCCTCTCTGGTTTTCTGGTAGGCGTGCCTCAGCTCCTTCAGTTTCACATGGCACTGCTTCGGGTCCCTGTTATGGCCTCTGTCCTTCATGCCCTGGGAGATTTTGACAAAGGTTTTGGCATTTCGAAAACTGGAACGGAGTTCTGATAGCACGGATTCCTCTCCCCAAACAGCGATCAGATCCCGTACCTCCCGTTCGGTCCATGCTGGAGCTCTTTTGCGATTCTGGGACTCCATCATGGTCACCTGTGCTGATGAGCTCTGCATGGTCACCTGCAGCTTTCCACGCTGGCCAAACAGGAAATGAGATTCAAAAGTTCGCGGTTCTTTTCCTGTCTACCTGGCCAGTGCATCTGAGTTGAGAGTGCTGTCCAGAGCGGTCATAATGGAGCACTCTGGGATAGCTCCCGGAGGCCAATACCATCGAATTGTGTCCACAGTACCCCAAATTCGAGCCGGCAATGTCGATTTAAGCGCTAATCCATTTGTCAGGGGTGGAGTAAGGAAATCGATTTTAAGAACCCTTTAAGTCGAAATAAAGGGCTTCATTGTGTGGACGGGTGCAGGTTTAAATCGATTTAACGCTGCTAAATTCGACCTAAAGTCCTAGTGTAGACCAGGGCTTAGAGTCATTTTTGGACGTTATATTTGTCCTTTGTTTATATGGATGATATTCCAGCTACAACACAGTTTAATAAGTGCAATTTATTTTGCAGCTGGTTTTTAATACGATGTTGTCCCCCTCCCATTTGCAATATAAAGCTCCACCCCTTGTTTCTCTAAACATAGTTTAAGTATACCCCTTTTTTAATATGGTGCAGTTTTTCTTGCTGTCTGGCTATTTTATCACAACATCATTTATCTTTCAAAACACATTTGTGCTTTCACACTGCCTGCATAACTACCAGTAATGGATGTAAAAGTCACAGTGATAGTTCTTAGAACAGAAGAGATAGGAATGACAATGGTGTCTTATTCTCATCTGTGTAGAGGGCTAGCATTAGTCCTATGTACCACTTGCTAAAAATCTCCCCAGATATAAAGAGGAAAAGCAATATAATTGCATTTAACAACAATACATGAATATCTGAAATAAGACAGGAGTAACCAACAATCCCTCAAACGTAGCCTCAGAGGTATCAGCTCGTATGTATTCATGGAATTCAAAAAATAGACACATCAGGATTGTCCTTTTCATGCAGGGGAAGAGATGAGGCAGTCCCTAGAACATATGTTCAGCCAGAATCTTATGACCTGATCCTGCAGAAACTGTGGGGGCTTTAGCTTACCTTCGCACAGACCCTCATCATGGTTCCAGTTGGGCATAGGGGTCTGGCTATGCAATTCTTTTAGCAGGATCAAGACCTTGAAATTTTCTACTATGAAATGATGACAAGTTATGCACTCTGTTTCTATTTGTTTCTCTCTAACCCACTGTGTTGATGCAGATGTCATTTGGGCATTACAATTCTTGAGTCCAATTTCTTTCTTACCAACAAATATACATATAAGCAAAGTGAAAATAATTTTCAAAATGGCACTCAAATGTAAACCAATGCAGTGATTTTTGCCTGAATCTGCAGACAGCCTGAAACATTAGCTCTAGGAAAAATGGGAACTGTTCCCCTTCATTTCAATGGTATGTTAACTCAGAAACCTCTAAGGATCACAATTTAAATGTAAAAAACAACCCCTAAATATTTCAGTGCTGGTCATTTTAGTAGTAACATCCAGATAAAGAGATGACCATTGTGGTGGGTATAATGGCACATATTTGAGAGTGCAGCATGGCAGCTAGTTGCTGACAAATATTGCTGGGGTGCGAAACAAGGAATTCATATTTCACCATCCCCCAATTTCAAGTCAGCATCACCTCTGCTCCCTGTCCAAAATGGGGTGGGGGAGAAGATGTGGTGTATGACCTTCCCAATTGCCAGAAATGTCATCTGCCTCACAAGCCTTTGCAGATGCCAAAATACTTGGTTGTCTTCTACCCAGTCCTTTCAATTTCCAGTTTTTCCTCCCCAGCTTCTAAGTTTTCATTAACAAAATCTACAGAACACTGAAAATTGGGAGCAACATCAAATGAATCTAATATTAAAATATTGCAAGCAATTGTCCTAGACCTACATGGGGCGGGGGGTGGGGAGGAAGGGGTGCGTGGGTTTGTGTTTAGGGAACAGGATTCCCAGCTACATAATTCTGGCCATATAATTTAAAACTAGTGTATCACCTAGAGAGAACTCATAGTTTTCCTGCAGAGGATCTATCAAAGTGCTTCTGACTTTCATCTTCATAATGCCTCACAATCATTAATGGATTTTAGCCTCACATCACTCCGGTGAGGGGGAGAATGGGTATCCCCATTTTATGGTCATGAAACTGAGACACAAGGGTAGATAAAGCAACTTATGCAGGTATAGGAAGCATCTGGTGGAACCACAAAGCAAACCGAGGTCTTTTCAGTTCCAGTCAAATGCCACAGCCATTAGACCATCCTTCCTGCCCAATAGATGACAGATCACATATTTTGCTCTTTTCACTGAAAATCATGTTCATATACTACATGGTCCACTCTCTAAAATTTCATCATCCTAATTAGTTTAGGGAAAAAATGTTCCAATTTTTGTTCTGGGTCTATTGGATTCAGCTCAGCCTAACTCCAGATACGCCCCTTGATAGTCTGTTCTTTTCTAAATTATTTCACACAAAAAGTAGTTAACATGTATTTGTACAATCCATTAGGGACCCATTACCTTGACAAAATCCACCAGTTTTAAATGAACCTAAATATAGAATTCCATATGGGAAAATTAATATATACTTAATGTCACTGAATGCTGTAAAGCACTTAAAACTAAAATTCAGATGTAACATGGTCAGTGTAGGTACAAAGGGTTTGATTCTCCCCCTCCTCTATGATCCATTTTTGCTGCATACAGTTTAAGATCTGCCCAATGCTTGAAAACAATGCTATTTTCACATGGTATATCACAGTGTAGTGGTGGGGGATCTAAAGGGATGGTTTGATGCTAAGTTGGTTGAAAGTCTGTTTTGTTTAGAGAAGTGGGAGATCATGTTCTCTCTACTAGTGGACAACAAGGGGAAAACTGAACCTTGCTTTGTTTCTGTGTATACAGAAAACATACATAACAGTGTAGCTCTAGATGCATGGTTTTCAGCACACACAGAGAATGGACTAGAAATCCATAGGGCTTTGCCCACACTGGTTGGTATCCCATTGACTATGCATATCTTCTTTCTAATTAGATTGTAAACTCATCAGGTAATAGTATGTGTCTGTTTTGTAAGGTGCTGAGCAGTTTTCTTGCTGTTCTAAAAATAATAACCAGGTGCATAGAATTTTAGAGAACTAAGTGGATGCATAGACTGATTTAAAATTATCCAGCTCTGAGATCAGCTAGGATGTGGGTGTTCAAATTTTGCATGGTACCATATGACTGGGATTTCCAAAAGAGACTTTGTGTGATATTTCAGGTAGACAGCCCACTTAATGTCCTTAGTCCCTGAGGCCTCTGCACCTCAGAATAACATTTTTTTATATGTTACATTTTTTTACATATGTTAGAAAGAATTCTGAAACAATGTCCAGCCAGCACTGCTGGTGAAAGAAATCTGGGATTCCATGCTGGTTTGAATGTTACAAGTTTTAAAATCTGCATAACATAATCTGGGTGGCCAGGTCAATGTGCCTACACTGCATCTTGACATGAATTCATTCCATTTCCTTTGGAAATGACACTCATACCTGGCTTTCACCACATATGTCTGGCCAGGGAGCTGAGAAATAAAAATTAAATATATGTTTTTGAATCTTTTGTTAAGATTTGGCATGGGTATCTGTGGGCTGGGGAATGCACTTAGAACAGGGAAAAGGCTTCCATAGATTATTTTTGATTCCTGGCAAGCTATATGAACTCTTCACTGAATGGGAATACTGTGCCAGACCCTACTGGCATTGACCTTCCTAAAGTCGATGCAGAAGTGAAGGGTCCAGTCTGGCTTTGGGACTAGCACTATGGGGCTGCTACATTTGCTCTGGGACCTCTCGATGACCCCCAGGTCTGCCATCATCTGGATCTTCTTCTCTAGCACCTCCTGCATTTGTCGTGGGAGAGGTCATGTCACCTTGCAGATTATCTCCCCTGGATTCATCAGGATGGTGTGCTGGACCAGGGTGGTTTGTCCTGATAAGGCTGTGAAGGTCCTGGAAGAGGCCTTCAATGGGTTTCTGGTCTGCTCCCACCACTCCTCTGTGAGGGTGTCTCTGAGTAGGGGGCTTTTCAGAGGCAGCGGCCACGGGGACCCAGGGACCCAGGTCTGGCTCAGAGAGGTAGAAGGCCACCAGCAGCCCCTTCTGCTTGTGCCATGGCTTCAGGAGGTTCACATGGTACAGCTGCTGCTTCCTCCATCAATCGAGTTGTTGGATCTCCTAGGTGACAGGCCTTACCCAGAAGATCACCTCATATGGGCCCTGCCTTCGGGCTAGGAATTTAGACTCCTCTAAGGGGAGTGAGAGAGGGACCTGGTCACTGGGTTCGAAAGTCTGTGTCCAGGCTCCCTGGTTGTGTGTTCTCACCTGTGCCTCCTCGGTGGCCCACAAGTTCTCCCTTGCCAGGTCTCTGGAGCATGGCAAACACCCTTGCAGCCATTGCACATATTTCAGGAGACCTGCAATGCTGTTTGTTCCTAGGTTTCCCATATTAGGTCAAGCACCCCCGGGTCTGGCAACTGTACAGCAGTTCGAAATGCAAGCACTTTGCGGAGGATTGTCGCATGTCCCTGATAGCCAGCAGCAGCAGGATTATTTGGTCCCACTGACATAAGTGCTTGCGCTGAAACTTGTGGAGCACGTCCTTCAGCATTCAGTTGAATCGCTCAACCAGCTTGTTGGTTTGCGGGTGATAGACTGATGTCTGCAGCTTCTTAATTCCCAGGAGACCACAGACCTGGTGGAGTAACTGGGATGTAAGATTTGTTCCCTGGTCTGTAAGGATCTCTTGGGGCAGGCCCACCTGGGTGAAGATCTTCTAAAGTTCCACTGCAATGGTTTGAACAGTGGCATTCCTTAGTGGGATGGCCTCAGAGAAGTGGGTGGCACAATCCATAATCACCAGGATACAGCAGAACCTGGAGACACTCTTGATGAGAAGCCCCACCAGGTCCATTGCAACCCTCTTAAAGGGGGTCCTGATCAACAGTGGAGGACCAGTGGGGCCTTCTGCACCCTCTGCAGTACCAGAAGCTGACAAAATGTGCAGTAGTCCTTGACCTCTTGATGCATCCCCAGCCAGAAGAATCAGGCTAAGATCCGAACCGTGGTCTTTTCCTGCCCTAGATGACCGGCTACAGGGAAGTCCGTGGGCCAGTTTCAGAACAGCCCACCCGTGACACTGGGGCACGACCAGTTGGGATTGGGGGTCTTTGGTTCGAGGGTCTCGGTCGACTCAATGCAATCTCTGGTCAGTTCAAACCATGGCCACTGGATTGCTCAATGAAGTTCTCTCACCTCCCGCATTGACATAGGCCAGCTGTTCGTAGGCACAGTTGAGAGTGGGGTCCTCTCTCTGGTTCTGAC